TAAATTCACCTTTCAAACCCTCCATGAGACAGAACCAGGGTATCTGCAGGGTTTCCTCTGCTTGAGGATATCTGGTTCTCCCACCAGAGCAGTTATAATTGGCATGCAAATGATGTGTTCCCTAAAAGATTCCCACTTTATGGATCATCAGAAGCCTGCCTTTTCTGCTGCAGTTCCTGCCTATTGGACTTACTCCCCCTTGAAATTGAATAGGCCCCCATCCTCTTAATCCTCTGGAGACTTGCTACTTCTCCCAACCATTTGGGATAGGGTAAGGTCAGTGCAGGATAAGAATCTGGTGGATTACCTCACAGAAGGGAGTTTGCAGCACCAGATAGTTCTTCTTTTAATTTTACGTTGTTGTTGCTGTTGTTGTTGTTTTTCTTTTTATATTTGTATATATTGGGGATTTTTGTTGTTGTAGTAGTGTAAGTATATTCTGTTTACTGAGACTTTTCTGTCTCTCTTTATCACATCTTATTCAAAGTTCTTCTTGAAATTTGAAAGACTATAAAAGAAATATTACTTTCTTTTCTCAGATACCAAAAAATGCACCAAGTGCCCAGATGATCAATATCCAACTAAGTATCGAGTCCAGTGTATCTCTAAAAGAATAACCTTCCTATGAAGACCATCTGGGCATCATCCTCATCTCCTTTACTCTACTATTGTTCCTAACCACAGGCTTTGTTTTAATCATATTCATTAAATACCTTGAAACTCCTATTGTCAAAGCCAACAACCGGGACCTCTCCTTCATCCTCCTGGTCTCCCTTCTGCTTTCTTTCTTATCCTCCTTGTTCTTCATTGGCCGACCAAGGAAAGCCACCTGCCTTCTCCAACAAATAGTGTTCAGCATTGTCTTCTCAGTAGCCGTGTCATCTGTGTTGGCCAAAACGATCACAGTAGTGCTGGCATTCCTAGCTTCAAAACCAGGCAATAAAGTGAAACGATGGTTGGGGAAGAGCTTGGCCAACTCCATCATCATTTCTTGTTCTGCTGTCCAAATTCTCATCTGTGCCATATGGTTGGGAGTTTCTCCCCCATTTCCTGACTCTGATCTGCACTCCCAGCCTGAAGAGATTATCCTTCAATGCAATGAAGGCTCTGTCATCATGTTTTATGTTGTTCTTGGCTACATGGGCTTCCTTGCTGCAATTTGCTTCACTGTGGCTTTCCTGGCCAGGAACCTGCCTGGAGCTTTCAATGAAGCCAAGCTGATCACCTTCAGCATGCTGGTCTTCTGCAGTGTCTGGGTTTCCTTCCTCCCCACCTACCTGAGCACCAAAGGAAAATACATGGTGGCTGTGCAGGTTTTCTCCATCTTGGCCTCTGGTGCTGTACTATTGAGCTGTATCTTCTTCCCCAAGTGCTACATTATCATCCTGAGACCAGATCTAAACACTAAGGAACATCTAATGGCAAAAGCAGGGGAATGATTGTGAAATTGTTTCTTAGGCTGGTAACTTCTAATTATCCATTATTATTGGTTATATATTGTTCCTTTGGATTTGCTTGACAACTGAAGGAAATAAATATGTGAAGTTTGTTAGTTAAATGAAAATTCAGGATAATCATCAAATATATTATTAATAAATAAATAAGTAAACAAACAAACAAATAAATATTATGTTTTTAAACTATTGGTTTTTCTCCTTTTCCTCAGCACACATGTCAACCAATATTTGACATAAGCAACTCTTCAAGACAGGAGATATATGAGTCATTTCCTGGGCTTTATAGTGGTGTAAGCTTGGCAGGTATCTTCAAATTTAATTAGTGAGATCTGAACCTCATCTCTTTCATGGTTCTTTAGGAATTGGTATTTCCATTCCCCCAGGCTATGGGTTCTACTGGGGAGAAGAGAGTAAGTGAAGGTGATATGGTGTTGCAACTGTCTCACCGGTTTTGGTGTTCCTTCTCTTTCTCCTGAGGTGCTCTTTCTCAGCAATCTCCGTTCATTTCAGCTTCAAATCAAGTTCCATCTTTTTCATGGCTTCCTCTCTCACAGCCTCCAGTTCCAGCTTCTCTGGGCTGAGGTGCTGAACAGACTCTGACTTCTGGTGAGGAATTTCCAGTAGCAGACATTTATTTATAGCCTGTAACTTCATGACAGGTTTGGCATATCGGTATTCAAGTGAATTGGACTGAAGAGGACTGAAAATAAAATTCATCCTGGTCTGGCTTGGGGAGTCAGTAGCTCAAACAAGCTGAGGCAGGTACAAGAAGGCCACTCTTGTAGGCCTTCAACTCCCGGATTGAAAGGAAAATCAACTTTACTAAAGGTGTCAAAAGAAAATACTGTGAGAATAGAATAGAATAGAATAGAATAGAATAGGATACGATACGATACGATACGATACGATACGATACGATAGGAAGGGACCTTGGAGGTCTTCTAGTCCAGCCTCTTGCTGAGCAGGGGAACCTATACCATTTCAGACAAGCAACTGTCTAGTCTCCTCTTAAAAACCTCCAGTGATGGAGTGCCCACAATTTCTGGAGGCAGGCTGTTCCACTGGTTAATTGTCCTCACTGTCCGGAAGTTTATCCTTAGTTCCAGGTTGCTTTTCTCTTTGATCAGTTTCTAACTGTTGTTTCTTGCCTGCCCTCTGGTGCTTTGGAGAATAATTTGACCTCACCCCCTCTTCCTTGTGGCAGTCCCTCAAATACTGGAATGCTGCTATCATGTCTCCCCTATTTCTTCTTCTTTTTAGACTGGCCAGACCCAAGAAAGGAAGACTGGTTGAAAATCATGCAGGGGCGGGGCCCCAAAAGAAGTGCGCACTCCACTGCAGAGCTGGCATGAAACACTCCCCCCCTGAAGCTTCAGCCCCACCCCACCCCACCCCACCCTGAAAAGATCCCCCCTGCCACTTTCCCAGCTTCTCGCTCTGCTCCGAACTATCTCCTCCATCGGGCGAAGTCAAGGGAGACTCTGCCCGGAGACCGATGACGCTGCAGAAGGGAGGGTTTTCATTGGTACCTCCGCTTTTCTGAGACCTCCCAATTACGAAGTCCTAGAAAAATGCCCCCTCCCCCCATCCTCCTTACCAGGGCTTTCCTTCCCCGCTTCACTTCCAGGGAACTGGCCCAGCGCCCCCCCCCCCCCAGTAGCAGGGAGATCCCGGCAGAGCCCAGAGACGCCTCCAGCCCCAGAGGTGGAATCGGGGGCGAGGTCTGGAGTGGGGGCGGGGGAGGTGTTTTCCTCGAACTTCAGAACTGGAAATGCCCTGAAGGAGAGAAACCAATGAGAAGTCTCCCTCCTGCAGCGTCATCGGTCTCCGGGCAGAATCCTTTGTGACTTCACCCACCGGCAGACAAAGTGAAGGCGATCTTGCACTGCCGGGAGGGACCCCTCCCCCCCATCCCCAGGGAGGCCTCCCAGCTCTCGCCCCCCACAGAGCCCTGGCACCTTTTGGAGGGGGGAGATGGACGTGAGGGGGAGATTGTCTGGAGGAGGGGGGAGCCGAGGGGATCAGGGCCCCGAAGAGGGGGGGATGGGGCGCTGGGTGCGAATGAGGCAGGAGCCTCCCGGGCTTGTGAGGGGCTCAAACGGCCTCCGATCCTGGAGAAAGAGGCCCCGGATGAAGCCACGAGAACCTCCAGCTCCAGCAGCTTCCCAGCCATGGAAGAGGCTCTCCAGGGGAAGCAGGACTTGGAGAGATTGAGGAGGAGGAGGGTCCTGACTCTTCCCCTCCCTGGGATCGGCCCACCCTCCTCCCGAACCGGTTCTGGCTTCAGACCTAAACTAGCCTGGATGGTAAATTCAGAATCAGGGGAGACCTCAATCCAGGGAGGGGGAGGGGAGAAGGGAGGATCTCTGAGGGGGGGGAGGAAAGAGGAGGAGGAAGAGGAAGGAAGGAGGAATTCCAGGATTTTTCCTACAATATAAATTTTATTCTTTTATAGCAAAGTGAAGGGAAGGGATTCGTAGGAAGAGTAATGGAGATGAAGCTGCTGTGGATTCAAAGCTGGTAGAGATTTGAGGTTCTGGACTGACAGGCAGGCCCAGAGTCCCTGGGGTCAGTCTAGATGGTCTCCCTCCCTCCCAAGAAAGGGAGGCCCTGAAAGGAAAGGAGGGGGGGTCTCAGCAGGAGAAGCTCCAGGCTGCCATTCTCCTCCATTTTTTCAGAGGAAAAGCCACAAATTCATCAGATACTAAAAAAAAATAATAATAATACTTCCTTTCCCATCAAGAAGCAGGAAGGACAGCAGGATTAATTCATGAGTGCTGTAGAAAAATGAGATGGGGAGAAAGTGAGAATACAAATGTAAATAACTTATTATTCCTCTTTTTCAGCCCCCCCCCCCCGACAAGCCTACATTGCAGGAGGTGTGATTGATAGGCAGGGACAGAATGAGGGAGAATCACCCCCCCTTTCAGGGAGGAAAAGGATGCAAAGGACCAGCGACCATGGGGGTGGCAGCAAGGCCTTGTGTCACTTGGCCAGGAATTGTGAGAAATGTCACAAAGAGACTTCCCTTCCCTTTTGCAATTTCCCCAAACTTGGAAACATGGGCCAGATTTTAGTGTTTGTGTGTGTGTGTTTGTTTTTGATTGCAATACATTTGCAGGTCTCTGTAAGGAAAAGCTGCCCAAATTTTCAAAAATTTGTTGTATCCACAGCAAGGAGGTTTTGTTCAGGCACATTTTTTTAAAAAAAGAAACAATTAACCAATGATAAATAAACATCTATCACTTGAGGAGAAACTCACCTCCAGGAGGCTGGATGGGAGTTGCTGGAAGGAGAAAAAGAGCCAATCAGGACCTTTAATGGGCTGGAGGACTCAGAATGTCCACCTACCCATTGACAGCCCATAATAGGTTGCAGGATGCTCACTTATACAGTAGACTTTCAAAGAACAGAATTTCCCAAGCAAATATCCAAGGGGAGCCTCCTTGCCATCTGCTAAGTTTGCTGAGAGGCCTCCTCTGGATGGTCCCCTCCCCACAATCTCTCATCCAGCCCCCAAGACTCACCTGTCTTGCTCTTCAGGTAGAGGGAGAGCCCCATGGTGAAGAAGATCACCCCGATCATGGCTGCAACGATCCCCATCCAGAGTTTGCTCTTGGCAGAGTTGGAGGAACGGGGCTCTGGGGAAGGAGAAGGAGCCTCCCCTGAGCAGGAGCATCAAGGCCAGCTTCCCCCCCCAGGAGGGTCAATCCCAGCTCCCCCCACAGGGAGGGTCTCTCCCCGCTTCTCAGGGCAGGATGGGGTCCCCAGACCAGTAGGGGAGGGGGGGCTCACCCCATTGGACGGTGATTGGGGCCTCCAGGCTGGCATGCTCCACCTGGCAGGCGTAGATATCCCCCCGCTGGGGCTGGGTCTCCAGCATCACCTGGAGCTGGTAGGTCCAGTCTCCATTCTGGAGCTCCTCCCCGAAGGCCACGCCCTCCTCTTCCAGCCGCCCGTTCTTCAGCCACCGGACCTTGATCTCCACAGGGTAGAAGCCCCTCACGGTGCAGAGGAGGATGGTGTTGGGGGAAGCGGGGTCCAGCTTGGTGGGGGAGATTGAGACGGTGGGCTTGGCTGGAAGGGAGGAGGGACATGGGGGAGACACAGGAGGGGCCAGAACAGGAGACCAAGTTGGTTAGTTCAGGCCAAGATCCCTTTTCACTCCTAAAAATATTATTTGTTTTAAGTCATTTCCAAAGCAAATTGCAGCAAGAAATTAAATGGGATCCTGAAAGATGAAAAAACGTAAATCGTTCCTGGTTGGGATCAGTTTCCATCATCAAATTGCACAAGTCCAACAGGAATAAATATTAGAAACGCCCCAGGATGGAAGAAATTTCCTCCCCCATGAGAACTGAGGAGACAGGAGAGGCTATAAAAGGAGGCATTTTGGGCCGGGAGAAGAAGAGAGAGAAAAAGAAGCAGCCTTGGGAGGAGGAGGAGTCAGCTCTAGCTTCACAGAATGGAAAGGAGGAGGAGGGTGGGGGGAGAGGAGAGGAAATCAAGCAGGCCGGCCACAAGTGGATCTACAACTTCTGTGGCAGCCGCCTGTGCTGGCAGCAACCAAGAGGCAAGGAACGTAGGGAGGAGGGGTTGCCCTCCATGAGGAATGAAGAAAGGCAGCAATGAAGAAAGGCAACAATGAAGAAAGGCAGCAATGAAGAAAGGCAGCACCGGCTGGAGGTGAATCATGGAGGGAGATGGAGAGTGGAAGGATTCTTATGTGCTTTTGTGACTTTGAAGTTCTGGGATTTGTGCAATGGGGGCTTTGTGTTCTTAAGGAGTGTTTGGCAATTTCTATTTGGCTGATGGTTGATGTCTCAGGTTAGCTTCTACTGCTCTGCTACTGTTAGCTGTAAGTTTTGCTGCAAGGGATTTTGAAGTATTTTTCTCCTAAATGGATTTTGCCTGTAGCATTCCTTTACTTATAAATGGAGCCATTTGGGGAGGCTGCTTAGCCAGCAGCTGTACTTACTACATTTTTTTTCTTCCTTAAGTGCCCACTGCGCTCCTTAACTTTCCTTTCTAGCCAGTAGCTAATTCTTAAAGGGGAATGCGCCATTTTAAGCTACTTCCCTCAATGGCTTGTCTTGTCTGTCTCTGGAGGCTTTTCTTTGTTCAATGAATATATGGAAGAAGGGAAATTGGGGGGGGGGGTCAAATTCTTCCTTCAGAAAGAGATGGGAATGAGAAAGAGGGAGGCAGGGAAGGAAGGAGGAAAGGAAGTCCCGCCTTAGCACTTGGCCACCTGCCAATGACTTTGCTTGTCAAAAGGTTGCAGAAGGGGATCACATGACCCTGGGACACTGTGACCATCATAAATATGAATCCGTTGCCAAGCATCCAAGTATAAATCTCATGACCCTGGGCCCTCTGCAATGGTCATAAGTATGAAAAATGGTCCTGTCATTTCAGTGCAATTGCAACTTTAAACAGGTTTTTTTTTGGGGGGGGGGTCATCAAGTTTTTGACACCTTGCTAGGTGGCACTCGAATATTGCCATATATCCTAAAAGTGGTACAATTGGTGAAAAGGTTGAAAAGCCCTGGCTTACAGCATTAACACATTAAAATCCTAACAGATAAATATTTCTATAGCAATCAAAATGGAATTCCCAGTTAAGATAAAATTATAGTTAAAAGATGGGGAGGAACAGGATGTGTGAGGGGGGAGGGGGGATTGCCTCTGAATTCAACAACTACCTCCAGTGTGAGGCTCCCCATTAGGACCCCCTGATTTTGAGCCAGATTTCGCCTAATCTGTACTTGAACCTTTGGCTTTTTCCTGCCCAGGTCCCCCCCCCAACCTCTCCCTGCAGCCGTCCGGCCTCCCTCCCAGCCCCATTCCCCCCCCGGAAGGAGGTGGGGAGGGGTCCGACCCTCCTACCTGGGATGGGGGGGCAGGGAGGGGTCTAGGACAACTTGCATAATATGGAAGAAATGGAAAAAGAGAATCAGGAAAGGAAGGAGGCCGAGGGAGGAAAGAAATGAAATGTGAAGGACAAAAATTAAAAAAAACATTTTTAAAATTATTTTAAATAATTGAATAAAATTGTTGAATTGTCCTGCAGTGAGTTGCCCCATTCCGGACAGGGAGGGCAGAAAGGATTTGGGGTGGGGGGATCTTGGGGAAAGGGAAGGTAGCTGAGGAGATCAGGTAGATCCCAGGATCACAGAAGAGCCTTGGAAGGGATCCCTCTTGATCTCCTCCTCCAGCAAATGGCACAACTCTTAGATGGATTAATGGGGGTGAGGGCTGAGTGAGCCCCCCCCAAGAGGATCCTTCATAGATCCACTCCAGCTCAGAGAACTTTTGCTAACGTTTTTCTCCGTTGAAGGATTCTCTTTTGAGCAGCTAATTATATAACGTTTAAGAACATGCAATTTTTAAAGGTTTGGTTATCTGTAATTTACTCCTGGGATCTGGTCGGGATTTTTTTATGAACAGTTAATTATCCTCCTAGGTTTGCAGGGAAGAATTTAGGGATAAAAACAAATTCCAGACTGAATATGCGGAGAACAAAATCTGTGTCGGTTCCCCTTAAATATTCCATAATTTCCGGAAGGAGCAAATGCCCAGCCTCTCCCCGTAAAATGCCTTTTTCTCTTGGGATCTGGCGGTTTTTCTCTTGTGGAAGAAAGACCTTATTTAATTCTTTGGTAGCATGTTATTTTGGGAGAACCTGGCAAAAACAAATGGCAACAACCGCAGATAAAACACTTGTTTTGCACTATGAAACCTTATCAGATGATAGAAATAAATAAGATTTTTTTAATATAAACAAATAAAACTAGAACAAGAAACGTAGGCAATTTGCCAGGGATCTGGAACAGGGAACTAAACAATCGGAGGCTTCAGGGCTGAATGAATGCCCGAAATTCAGTTTTAATGTTTGTGGGGGTTTTTTGAATCTCTGCCCCCAATTGAGGAACCTTCCCAGATATGAAGAGGGAAGCGATTTGGCTGCAGGTGGAGCTGAGTCTGTGACCTAAAGGGGGGTCTCCAGGGGGGCTTTTCTCCCAGACCCCCAAAATTGGATGTACAAATGACTCTGAATAAAGAATAAAAAGAACTAAAAGAGGGATAGGGCCCAGCAGACGAAAGAGCCTTCCCTAATTCCCTTTTCCAGACCTTTGGAAGTTCACTTTTTATCCTAAAATCCCAAAGGCCCCAGAGGTGAAGGGAGCCCCTCCCCCATTCCTGGCCTTCCGGAAAGGGGTGAAAAGGGGCCTCTGGGGCTTTGCTTGGGGGGCACAGAGGAGGAGGCAGCCGTGGGGCTGGTAGGCCTCCTGAAGCCCTCCCCCTTTTAATTTACTACTGCATTTTAATCATTCTTGTCTTTTAAATCCTATAGATTATTTTGGTGGTTTTATATTTTATGGGTATACCATGCAAAGTCCCTCTGTGTGAGAGAGAGATGGTTTTAAAAGTTGATAAGTAAATCAATATATTATTGATTTATTAATATAAAATATTATATTAAAATATTATATAGTATATAGATTATATTGAAATATATCCATATACTGGGCAAGAGAGAGACTGTGCTGGATTCCTCCCACCCTCCCCCCCAAAAATATAATATTTGATATAAGACGTTTCCTCCCCCCCTCCAGACCCCCAGAAAGACGTTTTTCTGGGCAGAGGAAACTTTGGACCGTGGGAAGAGAAGGAAGATGATGGGACTGATGGGAAGGAGAGGAATCTATTTCTTCCCTTTTGATTGTTTCATGGTCATCGGTGTAGAATTTCAAACTTTTTAATGTTAATTTATTTTTTAACCTTATTTTTGATACATTTTTATTTAGGGGTGATGTTATATCGTGTGCCATCCAGATCCCCGCTTTGAGGGAGGTGAAGGGATTAGGACTATCAATAAATAGCAAGAAATAGCAAGAAATACCAATGAATAAATTTCATGGATCGGAGAGCAGAGAATACATAAGGGGCAAATCTTTCTCCGGGAGAGTCCTAATAAATGAAATGAAATTTGAATTTGAATTTGAATTTTATTAAATTTATACCCCGCCCTTCTCCCGGAGGACTCAGGGCGGCTTACAGCCAGTTTAAAAACAATAATACAATACAATACAAAATTTAAGAAAATGATTAAAAATAAATATTTAAATAGGCCGCTTCTACTAAAATTTAATTAAAACCAATTTAAAATACCCCTAGGCCAGTCCTGCCCGCTGAAATAACCAAGTCTTGAGGGCGTGGCAGAAGGAGGGGAGATCCGGAATCACCCGGATCTCTGGGGGCAGCTCGTTCCAGAGGGTGGGTGCTCCGACAGAGAAGGCTCTCCCCCTGGGGGTCGCCAGCCGACACTGTCTGGTTGACGGCACCCTGAGGAGGGCCTCTCTGTGGGAGCGTATCGGCCGGTGGGAGGTAATCTGTGGCAGAAGGCGGTCTCGGAG